CCAGTTTGGACTGGCATCTTCACTGCTGCTTTTCTTAAAACAGTTCAGGGTATAGGTACCATGAAACACTTAGACATTCCCATGTGGAGCCAAGAGTTATTCTTGATGGTCCTTGTGGATCCCTTCCAACTTGGGGTGTTTTGTGATCCTACAATTCAATGCACATTCTTTATAGAAAATAACACTGGATGAGAAAGCGGTGCTTCCATAAATACACAAAAATAACGAAGCCTAAGCTTTAGGTGGTAACTCTGTACCACTGTTGCTCATTACAACATTAACCAAGCAGGGACTGTAAAGTTTCTTCACAAAATCTTGATCATCTTCTTATCCGTCTGTACATGGAGAAAAATATATAGAGATAGCATAGATGAAATTCACATTAAGAAATTATTTTTGTCAAAAGTTAGATTTATTAACATGTTGGGTATTTTCCATCTCTAGCATCACTTGAGTAGTGCTTTAAACATATAACATATAAACAAATTATATCTAAACAAATCACAGTAAGTAGACCATATTATTTTGGAAAATTATACAAGCTGCTGGAATTTGCACATATTGTAGATACTTGAAAATCTAACTTTTCTGCCCTCTTTTTTTTTTTTTTTTCTTTGGTATGTATTTGAATAATTAATTGATGAAAAACATATATTTTTTTAGTTGTTTGGAGTTTTTTTGTATGCAACTGTTTGAAAGTTTTAGTTACTTCTCAGCAACACATATTTTCCTGTAATATTTTTGTAAGGAAAAAAAAATTAAAAATAAATAGTTGTTTTGCTTTTCAGTGACTCCATCCCTATCTTTACTAAACAAGATTTCAGACCTCATATTCTTATTATGCAGGAGAAACTAGAGAGGGTAAAGGCATTAAAAATTATGTTTCTCAGTCAGTTTCCTATGAAAAGTCCCGCTTGCGACAACCTTGCCTGTTCCCAAACTTTGTTCTACCATTTTGCTTTTGTGCCTGTTCTGTTAGACTAAATTTCTCTTTCTTCTAATCTTGTTTGGTTATTCAAACAAGCACTTTGCACCTTTCTAGACTGGCAGGCAGATTCCTCTTCTTACACTATTCTGTTCAACTAGTCCTGTATGCAAAGCGTCTCATCCCTAACAGTATTAATCTCTTGCTGCTGCTTTCCCAAAGCTTGTGCTGCTACTAATTGCATAGCTAGAAAACCATTCAGAGAGATGGGAACTGCAGTACCCAGGAATGTGTGAAATATTGCAAGAATGTTTACCTGAGGAGTAAAATATTTTCTGTGAGACAAGACATCTCCTGTATGTGGACTGGATTAATGCTGCCATTTTTGCTGTCACATCACTAATTCCATAGATGGCAAACATCTGTACCAACCAGGTTGTAATTGTTTGGGGGGAGCTGTATTTCCACTTTGTGTTTAATTTTTTTTGAGAAAGCACACTGCAAAAATCTATTGAAGAGGATGTTTTTGTAATCTTCATTTATTTTTCTCTTTTATTAACATGTCTATTTTTAATTTCTCTGTACCTATACACATCTTGCAACTGTTAGCATTGCCAGCATCACCTTATTTCTCATTTTCATTGCGTTTTCAGTACAAAGCTAATCCAGGCCATGTTTTCAGTGAACTGTGTTCTACTGAACTACTCCAGCACAATAAAAACAATTTTCTCACCTTTGAACATAGCATGAATATTGTAGGTGCCTACTGCATGAAAACATGGAATTAAACCCTACTTACTCTGACTGTGCAGAGGCAAGAGAGACCTATGCCTTCAGGTTGAGGTTCATGAATGTTCAAGAATGCCTTTGTGCATTGCCACTTGCTGCACATTTCAAGCTTGGTCCTGATGAGACTGGTTTATCAGGAGAGCATGAACACAGGAGCTGGGAGAGTCAGTTGGGAAACAGGTGAAGGTTCAGACCTGGGAGATAAATACAAAGGTTTGTGGATTGGACTGCACAATAATCTCAAAAATCAGCAGAAGCAACCATGGTTGAACGCCTGCCCACAGCATAAGACATTTATGATGGTGACATTTAGGTGAGCTAGACAACATACTGTTTTTTAAATATTTTCAATGCTTTAAATCATAGAATCAAAGAACCACCAAGGCTGGAAAAAACTTCCCAAGTCATCTAATCCAATTGTCCACCTACTGCCAATATTTGCCCGCTAAACCATGTCCCTAAGTACAACATCTAAACATTTCTTGAGCATCTCCATGGACGACAACTCCAGCACTTCTCTGGGCAGCCTGTTCTAACTCCTGACCACTATACTGGAGAATAATTTTTTCCAAATATCTAACCCTATGAGTGTTGGGAACTGCCAGATTGATTTAGTGCAAAGAATCCACAAAACAGTCTGACTTTAGCAGCCCATGACACATACCAGAAAGACTGGTATGGAGCTAGTAATTGATGACAGTACTTCAGCAAGACACCACTTGTTAGATCCTTCTCTGAGGAGAAATGGAGTATTTGTCCTTGATATGCCAAAAGTGACAGATTAGCTCATTAGTCATTTAATTCTACACAAACTCACTGACTATCAAACACTGAGTTACTTATCAAAAGACTTCAAAGAGGCCACTGCACCTTGTGCACCCAGAATAATTTGACTGAGTGTGCTTTCAACACAACCCAACTGCACTAATCCAGAAACTGTAGAACTGTATGATGAGGCTACAAAATCAACAAGAACCCAGTGAGAGCACGAAACAATACCAAGATACACCGCCAGGGTTGTGCCATGCCACCATGCTGGATGCCCTACCTTCAATGGGAGACAACACAGGTCCAGCAGTGCCCAGGCTACTCTGAGCTTGGCTGAAGAAGGCAGCTGCGATGTGGACCTCAGGGTGAGCTTTGTTTCCTCTCTCTTTTTGGCTGCTCTCCCGAGAGCTCCCACTAGGGCCAACCTTGACCCAAGCCCCTGCACAGAGAATGAATGGAGAGAGCCAGCTGATATCGGTGCTGCAGTGGGGAACAGGCTAACTTAACCTTATGATGAACTCAGTGCATTAGAAAGATGGATCCCACTGTGCTGCTGGACCTCATGATCACGAGACACAGCATTTTCAAGCAGTCAAACAAAAGGATGTTTGAGTTGGATTATCTCAGATGAGCAGAGTTGCTAAACACAGAATAAGGAAGAGGGTAGAGGGTGAGCCAGAGGCAAGTGCCTCACTCCTGAGAGAGGGACAATCCTATTGGATACAATAGGGCTTTTTGCTCAAACTCTTACCTACGTGGAACACACAGGCTATCTGGCTATCTCTGAGTGGGGCAAGAATAGCAGTCTTTGTGGTAAGATTTGATATTTTTGCATGTCCACAAGAACAATGAAGTTTTGTTAGGTTGCTCTCTCCAAACTGCCCAAGTCAGGAGCTACATCCTACTGTGGACATCAACTGAAGGAACTGTAAGGAACACTATTCCACTGAGTATTCCAAATACTATAGAATCACAGAATCACAGAGTGATTTGGGTTGGAAGAGACCTAAAGTTCCACCCACCCCAACCCTTGCCATGGGCAGGGCTGCCCCCCACCAGCTCAGGCTGCCCAGGGCCCCATCCAACCTGGCCTTGAGTGCCTCCAGGGATGGGGCACCACAGCTTCTCTGGGCAGCTGTGCCAGCGCCATCGTTTCAGTGAAAAATTTCCCCCAGCATCTCCTCTCCTTTAGTTTAAAACCATTCCTCCTTATCCTATCACTATCAGACCATGTAAAAAGTTGATTTTCTTCTTGTTTATAAGCTCCTGTTAAGTATCACAAGGCTGCAATTAGGTCTCCCCAGAGCCTTCTCTTCTCCAACCTGAACAAGCCCAGCTCTCTCAGCCTGCTTTCACAGTAGAGGTGCTCCAGCCCACTGAACACCTTTGTGGCCTCCTCAGGACCCACTCCAACAGTTTCACTCCTTCTCATGCTGCAGCCCCAAGGCTTGGACACAATAGTCCAGGTGGGATCTCAGAAGGCAGAGCAGAGGGGACAATCTCCTCCCTTGCCCTGCTTGCCACCTCTCTTGATGCAGCCCAGGATACAGCTGGGCTGCAAGCACACACTGCTCACTTGTGTTAAGTTTTTCATCTACCACAACTTTTGGTTATGTGTAAACAATCTCTTCACAGCCACTCATAAGTTGCACATATTGTTCTCATGCCAATATTTATTTCCTTCAGGAACAGAGTTGCAAATTATTTCTCATTGAGGCTATTTTCTAGTGGCATTCTGGACCAGAAACTCGATTTTCCTGCCTGCTTTTGCATATAACTCATAGAAGTCTGACAAGTGAGCCACTCAGGAAATGTTTGCTACCTACAAGTACTGTTTGAAAGGGCAGTTTTTAGTGAACTATAAAACAGATATGAGAATAAAGTTATTGTGGCACAATGTACATTAATTGCTGCTAATTCCCCTAGGAAGTGCCACAGGCTTCAATGAGACTTCCCTCCCAGCCTCTACTGGGAATAATAATGTTCATAGGAATAATAGACCTATAAAAGAGGTTTCTTTTAAACATGCCAAAATGTATTCAGATATGTTCTGTCTTAGGTTTTAAAGGCTGGTGGGTGGACATGGCAGATCTGCAAAAAGCCTAGTTTAGCCAAAGGAAGTGCTATGGGAGAGCTTGGAGTCAGTCAGGCTTTAAAGCTGAAACAAAAACTTTCCACTACCCTCCCACACATTGTATGGTTAATGTAGGCAGATTACCTAATGTTATCTCATATGTGAGCTTAAAAGAACCTTACCAGATATCTTGTGTGACCTATTGAAAGCTTGCCTGGAAAAAGGACTACAGATCTGTGCCAGATGAATAAGGAACTGGTTCTCCCTCCTGGTGCAGACCAAAGCAGCCACCATACTTTTGTGGTACCCTTGCTGATGTTTTCATTATCATATCCAGACATATCATATCTCCTATCATATCTCTGAGCTAAGATGAGATGCAGACTGTGAAGTCCCTCAAGTTTTCTGACAATTATTTCCTGAAATCGAGAAGATGAATGCAGAGCTGGCATCCCCATCCATCCTTGGGTTTGCTTCACCTACTTCTTAAGGAATGTCAACACCACATCCCAGCCTGATGTTCACTTAGCCCTGTTTTAAGAAGCTATTAAAATGCCCACAGAAGGTCAGATACATTATGATTCATGACTTTATGAAGACATACTGGGAAATTATTCTCCTCACAGTTGCTGTTTGACACATGGAGGTCCACAGCTAAGCCTGAGATCAACGTACTTCATCCTTGTTCTCAATATTTCTCTACTTATTTATGTGATATGTTCACCTACAGCAGTGTAAGTCCTAACTGTAGCTCCTGATGGCTGTTCTGCATTCATTTCAAAGCAAGGGCTTTGTGTACTGCTAGCCAAGGTCCCAGATCTTCTGAAAGACAGATCAAATGCAACCTGCTATTTGTCAAAGTTGCTTTGTTTCAAAGCCCAGTTCCATGGGATAAAGAGGCAGATATGTTCATCTTTTCCCTGTGGGCATTTACAAATGGTCCATGATGAAGACTGAATATAGCAGTGAAGTGCACAAGAGTCAGACCTTTAAGTCACTATTGAAACATACACAGCTGTGTCTAAAAGTAGATCAGGAAAGACGCACCTGAGTGATACCATCCTTGCAAAGGTACCATTCCTTTCTGCTGTTGCTGACCTGAGCAAATGAAGGATCCTGAAGACACACTGGCTCAGATCTCAGCTCACAGCAGGCTGTTTGCACCTGAGACAAGCACTAGCTGCCCAGCTTCTTTTGAGAGGTGGGTGGAGTAGGGTGAGAGCAGACCACTGCATTTTAGAGCTTGGAAACTGTTCCTGCAATCTCTTCAATCTACTCCATTAGAACCTGCATAAAAAGTTTTGTTTTGTTTTTTTTTTTTTTTCCAGGGAAGATCATTGATGAATTTGTGACACCTGTTTGCCTGCAGCAAACCTGTTCCATGCTTGGTTTTGTCCCAGGTCATCTGAACTCAAAGTAAAGTAAAGGGTGAAAGTAGGGATCAGAGGTCTCAACAGGATTGTCTGAGAGATAGAAGATAGAGAGTTCACTATAAAAATTCTTCCACATTCTTCAGAGACAAACCAGATAGATAGGTGTTCTCTTGGGCAGGCAGATTGGACTTATCAGCTGCAAAGGGCAGGCAGCTGGAACAGGATTTTCACACTTTCCAAACAACCCTCATCTGACAAATATTTAATGGAGTATTGCTTAAAGCAGTCTGCCACAAGGTGACTTACAAGACTTGTTTCAGTAATGCTGTATGGAAAACAGATGAAACAATGGCTATTTTGTGTCACATGGTTAAACTTTTCTTTCTTTTTTTTTTTTTTTCATGTGGGTTAGCAAATCTAAAGCTAGCATGATTTCCAGAAACTAGAGCACGTTGTACCTATTCTGCTAACCATAAGTCAGGGTTGCTGGACACACTTCTGTATAGCTTTTCATCAGACAGTTTTGTCCGAGTTGTGAAACACTACAACAAGTACCACCCATGCCTCTGTATGTTGTTTGCTTTTGGGTTTTTTTTTTTACAATGTAACACATCCCTTAAGAAAGCTGAGATCTGATGCTGCATTTCACACGTGGACAAAATCTTGCTGAGGTTTTCCTGTAGAAGCCCATAGCAGAGGAGCAAAGCACATTGGTGGCTCTCTTTTTGCAGAATGAGGCAGAAGAGGAAAAGTTTCAACCTACTTGTATATATCCCAGCTCAAACATCATGTCAAGCCCAAGGGCTGTCCTGTGACTGGCACTGTTGCTAATCTCAGCATCAAGGCAGCAGTTCTTCCAAGCCACTAAGAAACAGTGATGTGAAGAGCTATGTACAGCTTGTGGATTGAGATCTCCCCTGGATAAAATGAGAATTAAAAAGTGGATGACAAAGTGTTGTGGATTTTTTTTTTTTAAGAAAAGGTAGGAACTTATACATGTTTTGGGGTCTCAAGGTCCATATAAGCAAATGGACTGAAGAGGAATGATAATGAAGAACTTCCCAGCTGGGGATAAGTACTGATATGTTGTAATAGTCAATAGGTGTTGATTGAAATGATTGGCTGTTGGAAATCACCTTCCTGTGCTCTCCCACTCTTCTCTGCACATCATGGTTGTCTTAACAAAAAAGAGGCTTCTTCATTCACACCTTCTGTTTGTTAGCTGCTGATTTCTTCCCTCTTTTTTTTTCTTTGAAGAAATCTTCCATTGAGGCTTTTCAAACACTCTATCCATTTGTTATATTTCCCCTCTCTTATAAAGGTGAAAGAGGGTGTCTTCAAATGACTTGAGGCTTCAGCCGAGGTAGATGCTGGCAAGGTGCACAGAGAAACGCTATGCTTCATCTAAATGTTAATGTCTATAAATAAAAAGGAAAAGAATAATTTAAAAAATCTTGCAATTTAAAAAATCCTTAAATTACCTCTGAAAATTTACTTCTGTTAAAGCTATGATTTCATCCCCAATATACAAAGTGACAGCTTTATGTGATTTGCTTATTAGCTGCTGGCATATCTCTATCTGTTCTATTCAGCTCCATGCTTATGAACTATAATCCATTTTTTTCCCATCCCACAGGATGGTTGTAGGAAACCTATTTTTCAACTAACCTACTGTGAGATGGGACTTGCTTGACAGAACAAGCAATCTCAGCAGTTTCTCCTCTTTCCTATACTGTCCAAGCGAGTTCAAGATCATCGCACTGCTACAGTCAAGACCTCCTAAAAATGCACTTTGATAATAAAAACTCACCAGTGAATGCTGGAGAAAGAGGATGACTTCTTCCTGTGTGTCTTGCCAATATGAAAGAGTATTTAAGAACAGGAGCTCTCTCTGTTTTTTGTTGTGAACTTCTGCCAAGTATGCTTTGGTCACTATATAAATAATATTTTGATATTTGCATGATCAATTACATAACTACAATGAGCAACCACAGATTACTGCAAACACAAAGTAATTTGTTGTCATCTTCGGAAATAAATTACAATAGCTTCTTCAAAGTCAAGTTTGTTTCTTCTTCTTCATCATATCCTAAGTAAGATACCCTATTTTCAGGGTAGCCTCACAGAGCCCACTATGGATGCAGTTTATAACCATTTTCATTCACAGCTGATCTGATGGAACATCTTGCTTAAAAGGACAAGGTTGTGATTGCAGAGCAGCATTTTTGCCCTGAATTGCAACACAGGTGAAGTAGAGATAATATTCACAGCGTGGCTCAGGCTATCAGCTCTAAGACCTGAAATTTCCAAGTGCAAACAGACGCTGTGAGCCAAGGCCTCTTGCTGGGGGCAGTGCCCCAGGTGCAGCCGATATGGCAAGCCCTGCTGCAGGTGGGGAATGCAGAAGGCAATGGAGTGAGCCTGGAGAAATCTCTCCTTTTTTTTTTTAGATCATTCTTTTCTGGGTAGAGATAAGCTCCCAGACATTCCTCCGACTGGAGCTGGCAGACCTTCCGGGCACAGTGGGGTGATATCAGCACAGTGCTGCTCCATGTTATGTTGAGCTATGCATATATCCTATACAGAAAATGGGTGGTATGCAGAGAATGATTTGTCATTGTACTTCTTAAAACAGAAGCAAAAATCCATGGGCTGTTCAAATCACCATCATTCTGAAGGCACAGTGCATGACTATGAAAGGGCTTGATCCAAAGAGAAACTGAGCCAAAATTCTTAAAATTGATTTGGCTTTCAGAAATAGGATTTTCAGAAAATCAGATTTTCCTCTTCAATCTAAAACTCAGCCAGATAGATGGAGGCACTATCTTTAACAGAATTTGGATCATTCCTAAATAAAAAATGTGAGATTTTCTCCATTTTTTTTCTCCCTTCAATTTTATTTCTTGATTGACTGCATTATCAATACTAATATTTATCTAAGATGAAAAAGGTTTTAGAAAATAATTCAATGGGAGTCGAACCTGAAAAGTTATTTTAATAAAGTGAAGAAAACTGATTTTGCTTAATGTGAAAATAAGCTTAGAGAAGCTTCTGTGTCTGACTCCTACACAGATAAATAAATAGATCCATCGACAGATGTACGTTTTTGAAGAACAAAAGTGTGTGGCTTCAGTGAAAAATCAGTGCTACTCGAGTTGTTCAATATTGCCCATTGAAAGAGCTTTCCTGCATAAAGCTGACAAATTATATATAACATTAGTATATATCAGGTTCAAGTTTGTATCCTGGTAAAGTAATCAAAAGGATGAAAGTGATTGGTTTTGCCTCCATCTAGCTCCTGATCACAGATTGAAATTTATTATCAAAATAATATCAAGAGGTGTGGATTTTCTTATTCATTATTCAGATTTAGTTTAATGGCATATGTATGATTTATGGTTATTTGAAAATATAATGTATAGAGAACAGTGCATATTACCATTCCCATTATTATACTTCATTTGTTTTGGCCATAAGCCCTTAAACTATCAAGCACTATTTCTTATGATTAACACGTTTACATTTGAAATATATACATACACTGTTATATAAGTAAATTGAATGAATCACAGGAGTCAGAATAATAACAGTTCTAGATAATATCAAAAGGAGACCTTGCTTTAGTTTACAGGCATGTAAGAGAACTGCAGAATGGGATTTTGGGGCGAGAGAGGTGAGGGGTTCTAAGTGGGACTCCCTGCTTCCCCCAGAATTGCATTCAGTAACATGACCAGAAACTCCTTAGGGTTATAGGGCCAAAAGTGCAAATTCTGATATATGTGATGAGCTAGGCTGAGCAATCCCCCTGGACTATGTGGTCCTTTCTGCAACAGACACTGCTCTCACACTTATACGACACTTACAGGACAAGCTCCTTTGGCCAAGTTCCTCCTGTCCAAAGGTACTAACACCACAAATGCCCAGAGAGGAGATGGGAGTGGCTTAGCTTATCTAAAAATCAGATTCTGAATATCCACCAGCTTGGTTTTTTTTCCCCACAAAACTCGTGTAAATCTGTTGGTCACCACATTCACTCCAAGTAAGGAAGAGGACATAATGGAAGTATGTGGTGTTCTTTTCAGTTTAAAAGCAAAAATTGAGGAAATCCTCATTTGTCAGCCTGATGCATTCTATACTTGAAAATACAGGCAGTGCGTTGTTTCTTTGGTATATAGTAAAGTGTAGTTGTTAAAGACTTATCAGATTGGAATGCATTACAAGCTTTTAAAATATATATATCTATTAATAGTGATGTAACATACATACATTTTTTTTCAATCCCCCGCAATTAGACTACTTCAGCATAGACTCAAGAGAGTATACAGACATTACTTTAATGAAATTTCAAGGAATTGTAATCTTGAAGTTGGTGTCAGGAAAAAATCAAGATGTGATATTAAGAGTCTTAAAATGAAGACATGAGTAACAAATAAGAGAATGAAAATAATGTGGAAGGTAATCAAAAATGGAAAGGAAAAATCAGAAAATTTCACTTCAAAAGGAATTTAGGATGCAAAGAGACCCTTGGCAATACGAACTTGCAGTAGGATACCAATGTTAAATATTTTAATGCTCTAAATATTAGTATAGTGCTCCCAATTCAAGGAGATAGCAGAAACAAAAAGGTAGTACACAGAAGGAGGAAGCATGGAGAGGCTACCTACGAGGAGTGCAGAGCATTTTCTGAGCATGTAGTTGTAGGGTTAGGAAAACCAAAAAAACCTCAGCTGGAGGTGAACCTAGTGACAGACAACAAAAGAGGTTTCAGTAAGGGCACTCACTGAAAAATAAAGACTAAGAAGTGGACCAGCTGCTCAATGGAGACATGAGGACTAAGGATAAAAAAGGCTGAGGTACTCAGTGCTCTTTTCACCTCGTTTGTCACTCACTGATAAGCTTTGTCCTCTGGCGGCCACCCCTGAGATGTTTGAGCCCCCTGGCAATCTGAGGGAGTGAAACCATACAGTAGAGGCAGATGGAATTAGTGGGAGCTTCAGCTGATTAGCTGTACATGAGTCCCTGTGACCAGATGGGAAGAATCCAAGGATGCCAGAGGACCTGGCTGATGTCACTGGTCACAGGGGAAGTTCCAAATGACAGAAAAAAAAAAGGCAAATGTCACTGTTATCCTCAAGAAGGGCAAGAAGGAGGACTGGGAAGCTACAGGTTGATCAACACCACATTGGTCCATGGGAAGATGTGGGAAGATGATAGAACAAATCCTCTTACAAGCCATTTCCAAGCACAGGGAGGACAAGAAGTTGATTGGCAGCATGAATTTACTGAAGACAAAATCTACCCTTCCGTCTTGAATGCATTCTGTGATGTTATGACTGTCTCTGTGGATGAAGAGTGAGAAGTGGACATCGTGTTCCTAACTTAAGTAAGGCCTTTTAAATTGTTTTCTTCAATAGCATGATTGCCACGCTGGTGAGATATGGACTGGATAAGTGGATGATAAGGCAGGGGGAAAATTATCTGGATTGCTGGGCTCAAAGAGTTGTTCATAATTAGCCAGTGGTACAAAGTCCAACCGGTGACCAGTTACTAGCAGCGTTCCTCAGGGATCACTGTTAGGATCAATACTGTTTTATGCCTTTATTAATGACTTACACAATGGGATTAGAGGGCACCACAACATTCCACCAAAGGAGCAGTTGATATGCTGAAGGGCCTGTTCAGAAAGGCTTTGGCAGAGGTGTAGCTAGCCAGCACAGAGAGGTATACTCCTTCCCCTCCACACCTGTAAGACCACATCTTGAGTGCTGTGTCCATTTTGGGATTCCTCAGTACAAGAAAGACATGAACTTAGAAAAGGACCAAGCTAGTACAGGCCATTGAGATGACTAGGTACTGAAGCACAGGGACAGACACAAGGAGATACAAAAGGAACTGGAACTGTTCAGTCTGGATGAGAGGCACGTAATGCACCTAGTAGCTTACTTTTGGCACAAGGTTAAATCAAAATCTAAGTACATTACAATTATTATTAGATTATTAGATTATATTACACCTGTAACACTGACATTTTGTTTGAAGTTTGATGTTAGAGAATGTAATTTCAAAATTAGTCATAAAGAAGAGAATATCTTCTTCCCATCTGCCTGGTTTTCTTAGGAATTACCATAACATGTTAAAGGATATTATCAGTTAAAAATAGAGAGTCTGAGCTGAAGGTGCCTTTTGATGCCTCATAATAGGAATAAGCCCAAACTTTGCATAGTAACATTTCCTTTGGGCTGTTCAGCTACTAGATTGCTGTTATTTTATAATCTTATAATTACTAGTTGCACAAGTCTGTTCCTCTCTGGCATGCAGCCAGTAGACTGTGCCTATCACATGCTGGGCTGTGGGACTCATAAAGCTCGAGTTACTCAGAACAAATTTTACGTACAATATGTATTTTAAACAAAGGGCTCATGGAAATAGTCACCAGGAGGAAAAACAGTATTCAGGTGGACTGCACAACTATAAGTGGAAAACACAAGGCTGTATATTTGGAGAAGTCTCTAGGCTTGTGTGTGTGTGTGTGTGTGTGCGTACGTGCGTGAAGGTTTTCTTTCATAATGGAGTAGGGTAAGACCTGAGCTTTCTTTTTTCCTTACCACTTGTCTTCATTTTAATGGAAAACAAGGAAAAGGTTGTAGTTAGAACTCAACTGGACTCTGAAGAAAGCAAAGGAAAGAAACATCGGGTGTGAGAGTAAAGATATCCATAACAAAGGTCACTATTATGAGAATACATGTGAAATAGGTAGGTCTTGTAGCAAAAGAAGAAACATAGGGACTGAGGAAATTTGACTACACTTAGCTTACCATTGTACACAGCCAGCACTATGTACATGTTAGGCAAGTACCTGTGTGGTACTGTTTGCGTGGCTTTAATGTGGCCAATTTGCCAACAAGCAGTTACTGATCAAGAAGATGTATACTGGCACCTCTCATCCAGAAATACTGTGCAGACAATGCTCTGCATCAAGAGAATGTGATGTCCATCTAACCATTGTTTTTCCCTCAATTCCAATCTAAATTGATGTGTGGGAGAATGAATAAAAAAGCTCAGTGACATCTTGTTATAATTTATCATGTGTGTTTGTACTGTTGGCACTAGACTTTTTGGCTCTGCTCCACTTTTCTCCTTTTCCTTGTGCATTGTTCAAT